TAGCCGCCAGGTGCCCGGCGTGGGCCTGGATTTTGCAGCCACCGGAGACCAAGAGACCAGCTGTGACGCTTTGGACCCCGTACGTGGACTCCAAGCCTTAACACCCACCCTCTCCATGTGCCCACCCGCCCGGATAACTGCCAGGACGGTACTAGGACGCGAGCCTGTGACATCCCACGTGTTCCACCTGACTACCTCTTCCTCGCTGTCACTACGCGGATACCTCCTCGTCCTTGTGATCCCGCTCACTTGTGGTTAAAAGTGAACTATGGGGATGCGTTCTTGCTCCATCGGAGGGGGGCTCCAGAAAGCGCCAGGTTCAAAGTGGAGGTGGGGGTGTGGGAGGGAAAGAAAAGTTAACATCCAATCGGAGTTGCTGCGTGGTGGCGGCGGACCCAATCAGGAACAACCATACCGCGAGCCCGCCCTCCTCGGGCCCAGCGCCTTCCCGGGCCCCTTCTTAGCCCATCTGCACCGCACCGATAAAGCCAGCAGAAAGAGTTTTACTGCAGGTTGGAAATGTGGAGGGGCTAAGACTCTGGGACCCCTCGTGGGCCTTGCGGGACAAACTCAGTTGTCCTGAAGGAGACAGGGAATTTGAAGAAAGCAGGGCCCCAAAAGGAGACTGTTGTTTCTTTCAAGGACCATGAGATGGAACCCAGAGTGGCCGTGGAAAGCTTTATTGATCCTAATTGCAAATTGTCCCAGATTTCCTCTTCCTCGAGCTCAGCCGGCAGAGCACAACCCGGCAGGCCCCATCGCTAGGCACCTGCGCAGGAAGGTGGCCCCCACTGCCAGGAGGATCCCCAGGAAGGCCGCGATGGAGGCGGAGGCCAAGACTTTGGACTCTGGGCTCCAATCTGGGAGCAGGAGGTGGAGAATTAGGAACCCAGAAGATGGTCTGACCCCGCTCACACTCTGGTCTGTGCGCCCTCCTGGAGTCTTACACACACACATACACACGCACACACACACGCGCGCACACACACGCATGCACACCCAAGTCCCCAGGATCACAGAGCGCCTCACCCAGGGCTGTCAGGATGACGGGCGCCGAGCTGCTGCGCACCACGAGGCCGTCGAGAGTGAGGCGCGCGTGGCAGGTCACGGGCTGCCGGAGGTCACTGGTCCTGGCGCGAAACGTGTAGGTCAGCGTCACATTGGCCGGATCTAGGTCTTTGAAGCGCTCCAGGCTCTCAAAATATATGATCCGGCCGCCGTGCCTCAGGGTCACCATCAGGAAGCCCACGGGGAACACGTGCGTCACGTGGCAGCGCAGAGTGTACCGGCCGCCCGAGAGCACAGGCGGCTCCAGAATCACGCTGCGGGGCCGCTCTAAAGCGAGAGGGGAGCCCCTGAGAAGGGTCCGCGGGCGCCCCCTAGCAGCTACCGGTCACCGCCGCCCTCCC